GACATGAGCAAAGAGGGAAATAGGTGAGATACGCCAGCACTAAATATCAACGTGAACTGGTTTTAATATAAGTCAACAACTACCTAGGGAATTTATTCATTTCAATACATAGTTGGGATTTGTCTTGTTGTATCTTTGTGGGGCAGTCTTATATAGAAAGCCAGCTTATTACATTTACTTTTTTATATGTGTGTGGCAGTATGCATGTGCTTGTATGATTCAAGTCAGTGGATATGGTGGCAGTAGTGAAAGCTAGGACAGGGGCCGCAAACCGAGGGGTCGCTTGATGTTTTTATGAAGCGAGCCTGTTTGGAAATGAATCGTTAGTCTCGGTTTTATTGCTCAAATTACCCGAGCCGGTCCTTGTCCTGTTTGCCCTTAATTAACAAGCGTTCAATTCCCCTAATAATTAGCACAAGCTATTAGCTATTTTACATCACTCTTCATTTGTCGACAATTAAAAGGTCTATTATTAAAAGGCATGCCACATGGTTAATTGGACAGAGTGGCTCAGCAGCAGGGGAAGAGAGGGAAGGGGAGAGTGCGGACTCGCTGTACGTAGGGAGGAGTCAGAGAGGTCTGCTGTAGTTCTCGCACAACCTTTACAGTCTGTCTGTCTTCAGTTTGCTGCCTGACACTTGCCTGTCCTCAAGAGAGAGGCTGTCTCCCTCACTGCTGTCACACACTCGCAGCATTCGGACCCAGATGGCCCGGCTCAGCAGTGCAGCGGTTAGAGGATAGGAAGTGTGTGTGGTGTTGGATAAGAGGTTTCTTTCTTCTTACATGTGTAATTTCCTTCATGCTGCAGGACCTAGGTGTAGAAAAATATGAGTGGTTTTTTTTGGCTATGGCATGGTCTTGGTCTTTCTCTTGTGTTTGTATCTAAATTACTACACACACATACACACACGTTTGTATGTGTAAAATGGGTGTCTGAGTCTTAGTGATGTGTTTTTACAAATTGTCTTCATAATAGAACATAACAGAATTGAAATTAGGAACCATTTATGTTGTGCTTTCTGCATAACAAAAAAGTTCCGCAACACATTTAACTGGCGCTGAAGGTCTGATAACATATTGGAAATCCAAACATTATGGGAGAACACTGAATACATGGGCAAAGAAGAAATACCAGGAGAACAGGGCGCAATTCATCTAAAAAATATAGAGAAAGAAGTAAAGGCAGCAGAACCAAAACAAGCGGAAGTGAGCCTTCAGGAGTAAACACCGTCAAGACAGACAAAGGTGAGCAAGGAGAGACACACGGAGTGGTGGAGGTATTCTTTCTTATTCCTCACTCTGCCTCACCTCTCCTCACCCCTCGCCCTCTGCCAGGGCTTAACAAGTGGCAGGGGAAGCAGGCAGGCCAGAGCTGTGCTGATTGACAGAACAATTACTGCTAACACGCACCCCGATGGAGAGGCAGACATTTCCAAATAGAATTTCACTATGGCGTTGCATCACACGCTTACAGGAAGGATTTTGGTAGAAAAGCAAAATTGCCTGACTGACTGTTTGACTGACTGACTGGAGCTGAGCACAACTGCTCGAAAAGCACTCCGTGTGTTTTTTGTTGCCTCCCATAAAAAAAGGAGGAAAAAGCGTTTACCCTTGATCAAGGTTGGCTGGTTCTAACTTGAGAGGCAATGTTTGGCAACCCATTTCCTCTAACTCTGTTCATCTGTTAGCTCAGTTAGAGGTATGGCTATTTTTATCCACACACCTACTGACTGACGACGAAGTGGAAAGTTAATTAAAAGAGACGCTGCACATCAGAACATTTCAAATGTATTATACATCACACATCTAATAAGCTAGAAAAGATGTGTATTTTAGATTGTGAGGTTAAAGTAACAATAATGTTGCTGTAGAATCACATGTGAACTGTGTTTGAATCGTCTTTTAGTTCCTAAACACATAAAGCAAAAATGTCAATAAGGATTATGGTCTTCATATGTTGCACAGATAAGGTTTGTTGTCATGTATTTTAAAACAAACGTGTAGAAGAACTGAAACGATTAATGGATTAGTTATATCAATAAAAACTCAACTGGCAAATATTTTAGTAATAAATTAATAATTTCAGTCATTTTTCAAGCAAAAACACCAACAGTCTCTAGTTCCAGGTTCATAAATGTGAGAATTTGTTGCTTTTCTCTATTTCTCTATTTAATGCAATAGCAAACTGAATATCTTTGGGGTTTGGACTGTTGGTCTGAAGATGTCACCTTGGGCTCTGTGAACTTGTGATGGATCCTTCACCTTAATTGATAATAAAATAAATTGTTAGTTGCCAACCTGAGATATAGTGTTGGAAACATATCTTCTGCTGTCATACTGTGCTCTCTCTGCGCTCCACATGGGACTCTGTGTGAAGCATCTGTTGGGTGATGCAGTCAGTCTCATGCAGCCATCCTGGTCATTACCCCACCCCACAACATTCTGGCCTCCAACAGCTGCATTACACCACGCTCTCTGACTTTGTAATTAGCTTCTCTCGTAAAATGAGGATGCTGGGCAATTCTTTGCTCTAGCAGTCTAACAACTAGAAGGCCGCGGGGAGTGTGGTTGGCACCTAGTGTTACCAGGGAGTTGTTGTCCTCTCTTTCCTCTGTCTCACAAACACTCACTCCTTTTCTCAGTTTCTTGGCATTTTTTCACTTTGAACCTAAAGTCAATTACCTACCACGAGAGACAATATAATTTCAGATATTTAATGTTGTTTTTTTAATTCAAGGTGGGTAATGAATATGGCACTAACATTTGCAAGATGAAAGTTTACAGAATAAATCCCATTGTTAGTCTGTCACACATTTCAAAAGCAATGTAGTCCTTTTGAATTTGTTTATTCCTCATTCATTATTTATCAAACATGTAAGCTGTAGCTGTGTTTAAATTCCAGATCATACAGTAAATCTGGGTCTCTGTCAGCTCTGATGTCTCCTGGCTGAAGGGAATCATGGAGTGATGGATGGAAGGGAAAAAAGGGATGTAGGAAGGGATGGAGGATAGATCCTTCCACCTGTAGCGGTGAACGTCCTGCAGGACTGTAATCTGCCAGTTGTCTCTCACTGAGACGCCTGGCTTAGCCGAGGCCAGCCAAGCCCTGCAGCCTCCAGCACCGAGCGATGCTGGGGCCCCAGGACATAAGGCACCTGCACGGGGAGATAAAGGCTTCAACTCCTGGGCTAACAGTGACGATTCTTTTGATAAATACAGACGTGGGGTGGTGGGTGAGCAATCTTTTCCCGCTCACTCTCTTTCGTTCTTTCCTCCCTGTCTACCTGTCTCAGTAATCTCTCTTTCTTGTACTTTGTTTTTCTTCCTCCACCCTCTTTCTGTCTGTTTCTCTGCAACTGTCTATCCCTCTCTCTCTCTGTACCTTCTTTATCCTGTCCTGTGTGAGTTTGGATCAGACAGGCGAAGCTCTCCACGCTCTGCCTTTTTTATTTATTCCATATCTGTAACTGTCAAAAAGAAGATTGCTACTTTAGGAGCTGTCTGTGCTTTGTTGTGCACATGGAAAGTCAAATAGAGGAGGTTGTGTTAAAAGCATCTTGACCACTTTGTGGGGACACAAACAATGTCAGCTGCGGTCTTGGAAGCCGCAGACAGTTGAAAATGGCTCTACAAGTGCATGAGACACGATGCCTCTTAGATGGCACAGTGCTGAGAGGAGCGGTTAAAACAGTTTTAGCCCGGGGAGGTAATTGGAGTCGGGCCTCAGCTACGTTACCTCCTGCTGTGTCTGTCACTTAAATACCTATTTATGAGAGCTTATTGAAACATAAACATGGGCAGGGTTACATGATTAGCGTATTAAGAAATGCTTTGGGACCTAAATGACCCAACAAGGCTGCTGCTCAGATTAACACCTCAAACGTTCAAGATGATGTCAAATGAGGAGTCAAGACCATTCAGGATATGGCATTTTCCATAATGTGGGACCATAATTAGCTGGCACAAAATGTCTGTTAAATTACACGTGAAGAAACAGGGATATACCTTTTTTGTAGGGCTGTCTACAGAGTAACTTAACTGACAGTGTAACTACACTCACCTGAAAAATAACACCAATTTTAAAGCAAGCACTTGCCATCCTCACTGTAAATAAATGGTTCACAGGATGAGACAATAGTAGTGGCTGGAAATGTGAAAAGGCCATATCTCTACAAGCACAACAGAGAAACTCTGATTGCAAAGTTGCAGCTACACCAAATGGAGCCAAAACACAGAGAGAGAGAGGCAGACGAGCTGAGCTGCATCATGTAGCACTGCGCTGTATCGTCGACAGCAGTTCATCTTTCCTGTCTACAGTGTCGTGCCCATTGTCTCTTCTCATTAGCCTGCGACCGCGGTGCTACGGTATGGTCGGTTCGGGTGCTAGGCTAGCAGACGCAGACAGCTCAGGGTGGCAGATGCCCGGCTTTTCTGCGGATGCCCTCGATCAGCAGATGACAGATGTCAGGGCTCCTCTTGGACGGCAACACTTCATCACACTACCCTGTTCTCCCTCCTCGCCCCACTGGATACACCAGCCTTGGCAGACGCTGTGCCCAATCCCACTGCACCAGCACCATTCCCTCCTGCCACACCTATTCACACACACACACACACACACACATCTCTGCATCCATCAGTCAAGCGTTATTACATCAGACAGCCGTCATACTGGCAAACAATGGATCACATGCTAATGCGCCCAGAGGCATCCACTCTGGAAATCTAAAGTATCAGTCTTTAGGGGTGTGTGTGTGTGTGTGTGTGTGTGTGTGTGTGTGTGTGTGTGTGTGTGTGTGTGTGTGTGTGTTAGGGAATGGAGTGTCTACTGTTGGGCAGAGGAGCAAAGTTTTTCAAAGTTGTGGAAAAACTTTAAATATTCTTTTAGCATCCTAGTGACCACAAAATGGAATTTTACAGAATAAATGACATTACTATACAGCAGGGGATGTAGAACCCTTTGTTGAACTGGTGCTATAGTGTTGTTGTTTCACACTTACCATTTTGGCCTGCTGGTAGACTTGACTACAGGAGACATGCCATCTCTGTACAGGCTTTTGGTCTTGGAGAAGTTTACCACGTTGAAAATGACTCTCTGAAAGACAATGAAAAACATCGAAGCCACATTAAAGCCACCAGAAATTTAAACCCAGTGGAGTCTTTGACGACTAGTAGCACTACGGAGCAATGTTTTGGGAGTGGGTCTTGTTTGCACTATACGGTGCACAAGCACACAAGCAATGTGATGCACATACCTGCACCGATTTCACACTACGATGCTAATCGAAAATTAGCTGTGGTAATATGCAAAGCGATGTCCCAACAAAACCTGTGGAGATGAAGGCTGTGAGCTAGCTAACCTGTATACCAAATTCTGCTTTGCAAATGTTATATGAAGAAAAATAGGCACTAAAAATCAGTCAGGCCTCAAGGATGCACAGAATATTAACATAACTTTGTTTACAGGAAAATGCCAAAGGGCACCTTTAATTTTTGGTCATTGAAATTAGAATACAGCTAAATGTGAACTTTTGAAGCAATAAAAACACAAATTTGATGCTGGTGGTATAACACAGCAAGCTTTGTGCAGTGTATATTTGATTAACGACAATCATTTCATCATTGATTAAGTCACTCAAGTGACTTAGGAGTGGCCTGTAAAATATAAACCACTAAACTGCAGAAGGACCTCGGAGAGACTTAAAAGTTGCCACTACCACCATGGATAACACCAACAACACGCAAAATGACTACACATTAACATTACAGCGAGGCGATAAGGCAGCTTTAATGTCCCGCAGATGATCCCATGTTTCAGTAACAAAGTTCCCGCAGCAGCTCCAAGGAGTGCCAGCCTCTAATCTGGAAGGACATTACGGTTCTCCCCAGAGGGGTGCTGCCTGACCCAAAACATTAAGCTTTGCCTGGAGCGCAGAGGACAGCCATGGTGTCTGGCTTTCCACCTCCACTGGACCAAGGACTTTCTTTTTTAGCTACAATATTGTGGGAAAGCCCCCCCCCCAACCACCTCCAGTATGCATGATTAGAATCAGAAGAAATAGAGAAATATTTGGAGAGAAATTAATAAATATATATTTTCTAGAGTCAAATGAATGGCAATGGTATTACTGCGGTGAGGTAAATGAATCCTATTGATGGGGCATATCAAATTACCAGCTAAGTCCAGGTGGTGGAAGTTAACTGGGTGCTACTGAAATCCTATTACAGACTCCCCACCCTCCTTTTCTTTCTCCTTTCCCTCCCCCTCATCCATTTCTCCTTTTTCTCCTGCCTAGCATCAGAGGAATGGGGATTGCGGATTGTGGCAAGCTGATTCAGACTTAGGTAAAATGACATCTAACTGATGTTGAGACTGGCAGCAGGCTCCTGTAGCAAGGAGATAAGACCATTGCTGCTGGCATTTCAATTACACTTTACTGCCCTGCACATCTGTTGCGAGAGCTACTTTTCAGCCTTTTTCCCTCAGGCAAATACAGCCTTACTCTGACTCCACTGACTTTCTTTGACTGCACAGCCTCCTTCCTCATTCGTTATCCACAACAAATTCAGATTGTCTTCCTCCTTAGCTTCACCCTGCCCACTGTTTGTAATCTATTTGTTCGGCCTGTTTAACTCAGAGGGAGCCGAGGCTGGACAGATGACAGAGACACAGGCACAGCGAATAAAAAGAAGCCTGAATCGCAGTCAGAATGACACACAATACAAGGGTGGGAGACGGTCAAGCAGAGAAAAAGGTGCTGTACCTAGATAGAGACATACAGCAGGGACAGACCTAAAGAGACAGAAGATAATTACAAAACACCCATATGGGTAGGAGACAAAGGCACTGAGGAAAATAAACTGGGCTCTACTAGCTAAGTGGACAGATGTAGAGGACACAGACAGGTGGGCTCATAGGTAGGAAGGGAGGCACATGTAGAAGTCTTAGCCTCCCCCTGTGGCTTTCTAATTTCATTGAAGCGAAACAGATTAAAATAGAATCTTTTCGTCCTGTGATTAAACATGGGATTACAAAGTCACAAAGTTAACCAACATGGCAAGAGGAACTTTTAGAAGCTTAAAAGCAAGGTAGGAAAACCCTGTACAATTTACTAACAAGCACACGCCATCAGGAAGACGTGTACACCACTTCCAAGATACAGGAGGGTTGTGTTATTCCTTTAGAGTAGTATCTGCTCCCTAGTGTAGTAACAGGTTCGCGAGGTGTTTCCTGCAGGTGAAACTGACAACTATTATAGTTACAGTTTTAGCATTCTCTATTTCTAAGCAGTACACCATCTGTTTCAAGTACACACTCACAAAACATTACTGCATGTTTACTCTATCAGTGCCTTGGTGACTTTTGGGATCATATTGTGAAAATCAGTGTTTCACAGGCTAAATTCCCTTCTGTATTTTCATGGCTCCAAACAAACCGAACTGTCCCATGGTGGTGGGAGTGACACGGCTGAAATTGTGTTATTACACAGATCAAGAGGACCAGTGCAATTTTGGTATTCGTTTTTGCATGAAATTGTGCTTGCATTTCCATCTCCTAAGACCGCCTATTATCACAAAAGCAAGCACAAAGATCAATTTTTGTGGCTTTGGTTGACAGAAGCTTCTCCAAAATCACCAAAACCCTTTCATGTATTCTGAGTTTTGCCTCTTTGATTTCAATGATGATTTTTTTTTCATCTGGGTCAGATTAAAAGTACTCCAAACTTTACTGTGGTTACGACATACTCTGAGTCTCGGAGTTAGAATAATTGGTTTTATTTGACCAAAATGTAATTCACAGCTGCTCGAATAAAAAGGTCCTTCCCCTTCGGTAGATTAAATACCTGTAGCCACCATAGAAGAACAGGATTGATATGAGCTTTCCATCTGTATTCTCTAAGTTGATGACTTGGGTGCATGCGTATGACCTACTATGCATCAGTAAAGTTTATGTATTATAGCACCTTTCAGAGAACAAAGTCACAAAGTGGTTTACAAGAGTAAAATATAAGAAATCCACCAGACCATCAGAAATGAAAAATAATAAAGACACAACAATAAAACATCATAAAAACAGTAAAATAATCAGTCAGTAAAACATACATTCTAATACTTTTGGAGGAGACTGTAAGCAATAACGGACCTTAAAAGACACATTTGCACACATTAGACAGCACACTGAAAGTGTCTTCAACTGTTTTTCAAGGCATCAACAGAGAAGAGCGTTCCACAGTTTACACAATCATTTCTCAATTAGCACTGCATGTACAAACACTGTGAACTACTGACAACAGGGGTCAAATTATTTCTTGTTACTTGTTACTTATTACTTGTGAGCATACTTGACCAATAAACTTGATTCTGATTCCCTCTCTCTCTTTCTCACACACACAATTTCATAGAATTTGAATCACACAAACTGCTGTGGGGTCAATTCTCTAGATCGTTAAAACTTACACGCGACCAGGATCAATTTAGAACGTGTGTGTTTGTGTGTGTGTATATTCGTGTGTGTCCATGTGTCTGCACATGTGTGCTGCCTTGGAAGATTTAATTAGGCTGAGCAGTTAGAAGAGATTAACATCCATGCTGTCTGAGCTGTCATGTCGACGGAGCGTGTCAAAGCCCGACGCTGTCCTCAGCACTGCAGAATTACAGACTGGAAACAGGTGTCTCTGCGGTGTCACACACACACACACACACACACACACACACACACTTGACAATAGATATCCTTAAATATTGCATCTAAGACTGAATAAAACTATTACATTTCTGAAAATGATAACTCCAAATGAGTTGTTGTCATAAGCAGAAACATGCATGATGGCGGTTTGTGCATATTACAACAGTTGACAGAATCATGCAATATTCAAAACTTAAATGGTGCAATAAGTATATCTTCACTCAGCAAATGAGTGTAATGTATCTGCAGGGACTTAATGAGGTAGTTGATCAAAACCAATGACTCAAGAAATACTTCCTTGCAAAGCCAAAATAATCCAAATCCACGAGTAAGACTTAAAAGTAGTTGTTTTTCTTTTGAAACATATAAGCATGACTTGTGCTGTGAGTGTGAGCTGCACGTGTTTTAGGTGCTAGTCTAAATGGTACATTTCTCACTCCAACCTCCTTGCTAACCTTTAAACAGGCTAGCTAGCCAGCCAGCCAGCCAGCCAGCCACAGAGCTTGGCACTAAAATAGCCTCGCTGCTTCAGGATAGGATTGCATTTAGGACCAAACACTGCCTTTTGATCTCCATCGATCCAGTGCGTGGCCAGATAGTGTTGCTTCCTGGAAGAAGCCCGGATAAATTATTAAAGGAGCCTTTCTAAATGTCGTAGTCCAAGACATCTACAGGGAGAATGAGCACTTTGTCCTTTTGATGGTGATGGTTGACCAGACTTTAATATGAATGATCTGAAAACTAATAATGTCTTCAGAATGTGAAAGCTGTTACTGAGAAGATTATAATTACTGAAACAAGTTAAATATATATTCTTATAATAATACCTACAGGTTTGTTAACTTTTTGATGTACTTAAATGTCAACATAGACCAGATAAACTGAAACTATATTAAAGCAGAACTGGAGAGTTTAAGTTTATGAAAGGATAAGCACAGTGGTTTTTTCAGCTAAACCACAAACCTGTTTCACTTTTGTTTATTAACATAATTTATTTAAACACTCTTCAATATGATGACAGGTGTATGACTTTTGAAATGTCTAGTCCTTCTGCTAAAATGCTGTCATGTCAACATGTGTTGGTACTGTACAAAAAACATAACTAAAATTACATTATTACACTATGTTATAAACAATCATAATGCAAAAAGTTTGTAAATGTGTTTTCTGTAGGTCTCCTAAAACTTTGGGAGACTGTCCTATTTTAATTTTGGCAAGGATCCACTGTGCTGATGGGTCAATGTGCACAAAACTGAAACTGAAAGTGCGCCAGGGATTTTATCTTGTTTCTGACCCCGGACTCAGACAAGATTTTTAACTTTAAAATCACATATTTATCACATAAAGATTATAAGTCTCACAACACTGCACTTGAGTGTTAAACACGACAACATACAGCTGAGACAAAT